AGATGTAACCACAACCTTTAAGAGTAAAATCAGCTGTGATCCGAGATATAAAAATATATAAGAAAATAATTTTTGAGCATTTGTGAACGTGTTTTAAATTTCAGAACTATCGATAGCATCTATTAAGTAAACAACAAGCAGTCAATAAAGTATTTCTCCAGTGGTATTTAAGTATTTTGAAACATTCAACAAAGATATAATGGCATGAGCAACTTAAAGAAAAAAAAAGTGCTCATTTTTTTCTTTCGGCTATGCTATTCGTTATTGGGTATCCCGACATTTTGTTTGGTCAAAACCCATTTTTTCAATAGAAATGTTTCTACGCATCGGTTAAAATACTCAATTCTGTTTTCATTTCTAAAAATATCAATTTTAGTTTGAAGTTGATCTTCAATCCTAAGCAAAAAAAAAAAATTTACTCAACCTCAGGACTTCTCATCAAAAAAATAAACGCAACATAATCTCATGTAGTCTCAATAAAAATTACAAACCATTTTTTTACCAAACAGTGTTTTGACCTTAGAAGGACCTCAAACATCACTATGAAACAGATAAAATGATTTTATGGCAAAGTAATATTTTATTGTAAAAGACGCACGATGGTCTTTAGCTAAATGAAAAACTTGTAATAACCGGTTTAGGCTTGGCCGGTTCAACCGAACCGGCCAGCCTTCTATTTTTAGCCGCGACCCAACAGAGGGTCCTACAGGCTCTTTCGCGCGAAACAGAGAAGGGCGAGCGACGGAGCGTTCGTGTGAGGGATCAAAGTGAGTTTCATTTTTCCAAATTTAGCACACGATTGTTTTCAATGATAGGAAATAATAATTCATTTTCATTCTTATCGTTATCAGAGTATTATTTTGGGAGAGATTTGAAGAACGAGAGAAACGGACGAGAAGGATTAAGGGAAGAAGGTTGGTTGAATTTCTTTCTCTCTTTTCTTATACATTTCGTAGATTTCTTCACTTAAACGCGAATAATAATATTCACAGAGAATAAGGAAGAGATTGAAGCGAAGAGACAAAGGAATTTGGGGGAGAAAGGATCTTGGGAGTTTGAGAAGTTGCCATTTGTAAGTGGAATTCTCCTTATATAATTTTTTATTATATTTTGTTATGGAAGTAAAAAAAAAATTATATTTATATGAAGGTTATTGTTTGAATTTTAGGGTTTCAGGATGGGGGAGATCAAGTCGTAAGAATTGAAAACAACGAGGATTCAACAGGGAGGAAAATTGATTCAAGGTTTCAAAGGCCTGAAATTTTCAAAGTGGGTATTTATAAAAGTTTAAATTTCTTTATTTCAATTCTATTTTCATTTAGAAAGAAGTATATATGAAATCGTTAGACTTATGATTTCTGCTACTGTTTGAAATGATTTCCTGAAATAAGCAATGACATGTATGAGTACAATTATGAAAAAGAAAAAAGATATGTAATGAGTATATCAAAGAAATAGAAAGTAAAAGTTTAGAAAGAAAACATACATATGTATATGATTCATATATGCAAATGATAAGTAATATTTATAGAGATATATATAGATATGTTGTATGCAATGGTAACAATACAGATGAAAATGAGAAAAGAAGAGAAAAGAGAATAAAGGAAAATGTATTGAAAATGACAGGAGTTCACCCCCTGATGGTATTGGCTGGGGACGCCGTACTCGTGCACGAAAAAGAAAAAGGAAAATGCTATGGAAATGGAAAAGGAAATCAAATGGAAAATGTTGTACCTTTGGGTAGTTTGAGATGGTGCTCCTGTGCAAATCAAATGGGAAAAGGAAATATAAATGAAATACTAAATATAACGAATGTTTTAAATTGTTTTAAATAAAAACATCCAAAGAAGTATAAATCAATGAAATGAAAGAATTAAGATTAAGAAAAGATATAATCCACATATCTTTATGCATATTAATTGTTTTAATTAAATACCCACTGAGTTTACTTAGTAAACTCAACCCACGAGTTTAAATGTTTCATGTAAGTTCTTAAGAAAGAAATGGCTGAAAGAGAAGAACATGTTTAAGAAGACGACGTGCAGATATCAACAGGTAATTTATATTTTGTGTTTAGTGGCTCTTTAGCAAATGAAGTAGTATATTGTTTAAGAAATTTTTTTTTTCGTCCGACTTTTCGTACCCACCTCGTTAGATCGAGCTTCCGGGCCGTGTCGTGACAAAACTTCACAATGAAATTTAAACAATCAATTCCCTTAATAAGAATATATAAACTATTAGAGTTTGTATGCATAGCTCTTATGTTTTTTACGTGCTCCAATCAATATCTTGATGGGGCCCGCAGTGACTATAACTGGCATGTAAGAGCCAATTTTCAGAATGACTAGTTGCCCAAAAGATATGATTTTGGGGAACCACATACTTATACATCTATGGCTTACTAGGGCTTTCTCTCAATAAATACCCCTCATGTTTTGCTTTCAAGATGGACATTTAGAAAAGTGAAGAGTGCTTCATAATTATATCCATGTGGTATAGTTTTGTGTTCTGGATCTTCCCTTTGAAAGATAGTAATTCAACTTTCACTTCTAAATCCTTTTGTTGTCACCCCGCCATAATCTATGGAGGTTGTGGAATGATTCCCTTGTCAACAATCAAGAAGCGGTTCATCCTAGCTCATAAGAAAATAAGAGATTTATTATGCTCACCAAGTATGGAAGAAAGTAGGAAGTTGTAATGATTTCTCCGCTAATGTGCAAAGGAAGGAGTATAGTGATTTTCCAAAAGAGACGTACTAGGGATTGACTATAAAAAATCAGAGCCAAACCACATAAAAATCAATTAGCATACTCTTAGTTATCCTCTTTTACTAGTAGTTATACTTATAACAATTGTATATGTTGTATTCACACGGCTTTGTGATAATCTTGTTTGAGTGGACATGTACTATTGTTCTTATATTTTACATCACTCTCATATATATAACTACTTAATCATCCTCTTATATCCTCTTATACATTGCTTGCACATTTAACTTCATATTTATATCAACACCATTAGATAACTTACGTGCACTTGTGCATGTATTTGTGTTGAATTAATTTTTGCTTGATGTTATACATATTGTGACGGATTTGGATTTGAAATGGAGGAGTTTTTACACAACTAAGGCTGCGCAAAAAATGATAAATCCAAAAATATGCACAAAACCTGATAAATTGATAGATTCGGTTTGGTTTTTATTTTGTCTATATTGACTTATTTAGGTTTGCTTGGGTTTTAACTTTTGTATGTTCAAAATAAACCAAATTGAAATGATTAAACAAAATATATAAAGATAAATCCAATTCTTAAACTCTATTACCAAACAACCGTTAACTTCACTCAATTGGAACCATAACCCTTCGCTGATTTACTTCTATAAAACCTTATTGATGCTTCAATGATTCATCAATGTAGAACAAAATGTCAAGTTAGCCTCCAACCAAACCATTAAAAACCCTTTAAAACCAAACTAAAATAACCTAAACTGAACCAAAACCCTAAAAAACAATTCCTAAATATTTCTTTTCTTAAACCAAAAAAGTAATTGCAATGAAACTGAACAACTCCGATTGGATTGGCTTGGTTTGTCATAATGGCAGTTTGATTTGGTTTTAAATATAGGTGGGTTTGAAATCAAATTGAATCATGCCTTCACTCTACATCATTTGTTCTTAGGCCTTTGGATGAAAGGCAGTACAATTGTATTTAAAGTGGGGCGTTAACTTCTTTATAAGGAATATGGAGGTCAAAAATTATCCAGTTAGTTGAGATTAATCTTTGGCTGTGTCCATCTTCAAGAGATGGAGTCTTGGAGACTTTCATCTAATTTGGGCTTTGGATTTGTATGTGAATGAAAATAATTTCACCAGAAACCTTGATAAACCTCACCTATCTACAACGATCGAACCCAACATCAAGAATTTAGAGTGATGAGTTTTAGAGAAAATTTTATATTTTGGAAGGAGACTTTATGCTATATTCGGACCACCTTCAGGTTGTGTGTATTTTGGGGTTATGGTATTTAAAGGTGTAGACGATGCTACTAATCAAATGGTTATAAATTAATGATAATTGTACCAACATTGAGGAAAGAAAATCTTCCATATAGTATATTCTTCTTTTAAGCTTAAGAGCAATTAATAGCATTGGTGAGCTCTCCAATTATGATTCTTCAATATTTATGCCCATCATCGAGGTGAAGGAGTCCTGGAGCATGTTCATTTGAGTTTAGAGGAAGCTTGCAGTATTTGGGTGCATCTGATGATGATCTTCTAATGACCACATTTATCATTTGGGTGAGGGATTGCTTTTGGATTTGTTAAGTGACGGTTCAACAAGGACATTGATTTCAAATTGATATAGATATCAAAACAAAAAAAATGCACTCGATTGACTCAAAGATGTTAGCTTGACAAGCTAATCATACATGGAAGGACGATTTTTAGATTCTTCACATCATATGTTTTAAGTTCATTGGCATGCTAATGTGTGAATCAAGGAAGCAAGTGCATCTATTGATTCAGCTGTTGTAATGATTATGATAATGAATGATGAACTATTTTCTGTCCCAGATGAATCAATAACTAGTTAATATGTAGATTTTAGCTATTCATCCTAACTTTCACTAAAAAAATTAATATTTTCTTATTGTATACCTTAGTTTGATATGAAAGCTTTTACATTGAGGTAAAGATTGCTGTTGCCTATCCTTTGGAAAAAGCTTCAAGATTTACGTTGTAATTGTATCTGCAGGAAATTCCATAGATGCATATGGTACATATAACATTTATATTTGCAAACAAATCAAAGAGGAACAGAATGCTAAAAGTTTTTAAGGGATTTCGTTTCTCATTTAAATTAAAAAAAAAAACTACTTAAATAAAGCTTTAAAAAAAAACAGTACAAAACGCGAAGGTAAAGCCAATGCTAAAATGAAGAAAAAAAAGACGAATCGACATAAGAAGAGGGAAATGTCCCTTTAGAAAACTAACCTTGCCAGCCTAGTGTAAAGCAGCTGCTTTGAAAGCTCCTGACATTTCTCAACTGTTGGTGGCTGGACAATATATTGCTTATTCTGCTCCAGCAATTGCTTATAGTAGGAAGTTCCGTGCTTAGCAACAAATTGTGAAGCTTGCACAGCTTTAGTCTGCAGCTGATGGAGCTTCGATGCCATCTGCTCAAAATTCCAAATTTAAACACTTGAATCTCATTACGCGAAGATTAAAACCACGGGATAACATAAACGTGGCAACGGATCCAAGCACATAGGTACAGATTGGCATGGCACAATCACGCAATTATCGTAGCAGATCCGCAAAGAAAAGCGAACAAGCTCGGCAACAATGATGACCAAATATGCTAAGAAGAATAAATAAAATGAAATAGAAGAGTGGGAGATGAGATCATCGAGAATATTTTCGCAAAAACCCTAGATTAGAACAAATGCTGAAGAAAGAACCCAAGAATAATTAAAGATGGGACTTGCCTATGGAACAAGCCTGCGATTATTACCTCTCCACAATCCTCGCAGAAACAAATGGAGAATCTAAGTGATCGGATTCTTCTACGAGAGAAAGAGAAGTAAAAGCCGACGGAGAAGGGACGCTTGGCGCTGGAGGTTTTCTATCTTCGTTGAATGCCAGGGGTGTTTCAGTAATTTGGTTAATCTAGGGTTTATGAAATAATATTTTGCTGAATTTGATATAATATGAATATAAATAAATAATAATAATAATTAATAATTAATTAAATATAGAAATATATATTATAATATTTGGTGTGATGGAGTGGAGATTAGGGTTTCAATAGATGAGCCAACCAGACAATCCAATCTGAGTCTGGATAAAAAAATTTGGGTTCAGGTTGACTTGTTTAATAAAACGGTCGTATTTTATTTTGGAATTTTGCATTTTAATTGGTGGATCGAGTTCAGGTTGATACGTGAACCTGATTTGACCTAAAAAATGATATTTAATTTATTTTCGTAAATTTTGTTGTTCGTTGGTATATTTTTTATCACAACAATAAGGTCTCTCATTCCTAAGTCGATTGAATTGAAAGGCTCTTTTCTGCCCAAGTTAGATTCAAGTCAAACACAAACTCATCGAGCTCATCAACATTAAAATAAACAAAACATGAACATGTTATTGTCAAGTAAATTTGAATACGAACTATTTTTGAACAACTATAGGATCCAAACAAATGGAACACAAAAAAGCATCTAGGTTACTCTAGCTTAGCTCATTTACAACCCTAGATAGACTGGGCATAAATTAAAAATAAATAAAAATAACAACAAATAATGAGTCTATTTGGTGGCTTTTTTTTTTTAATAATACTTTTGGTTGGGGTTCATGTACATATTTGAATACTGTGCCTCAAAATGAGATAATTATTAGATGTGACATCTATAAATGTGCGACAATCATGGAATAACATTTCTAGACTATCATCATCACTGTGTGGTCGATGATTTTCTTGACTTTAAAGCGAACACCTTTGAATACTGTTGATGCCAATCATATTTCCTCTTTACAACATCAAAGATCCTCTTAGGAGTCCTATTCTTTGCTTTCATGCATTTGGATAGTCCCCAAATCAATGAGCCAACTCATCTTATAATCATTAAATTTTCATGAATTATCAAATAATACAAATTATGCATAAATCTCTTCATAGAATGTAAACTGCCACTAAGAAAAAAAATTAAGCCCAAAGAAGTTTAATTGTTATATAAGTATTGTTGCGGGCTAGAATATACGTGGCGATAGAGTTAAAAGTATTTGTCTTAGCGTTGTACGGATATTCAGCACACAAACAGAAGATGAAAGAACACTAAGATTTTTACGTGGAAAATCTTGAAAAGGGAAAAACCCATGGGGACACGCCCAGTTGAAATAATTTCACTAATGTTTGTTTGATGTACAAGAGGCTGACTCGTCCTTAAAATTTAGAACGATCAGATTACATTGCTTCAATTCCGGATTGAAATCCAATTACATTTTTTCGGCGTTACTTGAACGTCAAGCAGAATTCCGGCGTCGGGTAGAATTTCGACGTCACTGGGGCGTCGAGCATAAATCAGGCGTCACTTGGGCGTCGGGCAGAACTCCGGCATCACTTGGGCGTCAGGCAGAACTCCGGCGGTGGTCGAGGAGGAGTTTCTTCCCTCCTATCCTACTCTTCTTCATCTCCTCTTCCTCTCTTCTCTTCTTCTTGCTTGGGTCCCCTCTCAAGAGAAATGAGGGGCTATTTATAGTATTTTGAGTATGGCATGACCCATAAATAAGAGGAGGATCAAGGGCAAAGGTGCAGTGGTTTGGATGGATGACTGATATTGAATCCCTATATCGTATAACATTCACCAGACATTTGAAGGTATAAATGATGTCGGAATTTGGTAATCTTGGACTCGTTGGATTCGTCTTGTTGATCTGCACGATTCGACTATAAGCACATCATATTTGGAAATCGTTTGGTAACTCAAATTGTTGTATGAACTTTCCAATAGCGCTTCGTGTGCTTGATTTGGACTCATTTGGGCTTGGATTGAGACGAATTTGGTGTCTTTGAGTTTGTATTTTTTTTAGACGCTAAGTTTGACTATAATTTCGTTGAAATCAGAGTTCAGGTGATCCTAGATTTAAGTTTGAAGTTTCATGGATTTTGCCTTGAGATTCGTGCCTGATGAAGGTAATTTTTTTGATGATATATCAATTATAAAAATTATACCACCAATATTTGATGTGTGATACTGAAGTTGTTAGCATGATTGTCATAGTTCCTGCTAAAGTTGTAAGTAATTTTGATATTATCTTATTTATTCCTTGGATGCTATGGTTAGCAACCTTGAAACCTTGGCTTTGATAAAAATATAATAGAGCTTGGTCGTGAAATGATCTTTATGGAGACCATGAATTTGCTTTTAGCACTTAGTGGATATAATAGGTTAATCTCTGGAGTTGATTTTTGCTAGCTAAGGTTAAGATTTATTGGGTTTGGATAGCTAGTTGATAGGTAAAGTGATAATGAATATTTTGCGGAGTTATGGAAAGAGAGGGGATCAAATTTTGGGTTCAGTGGAGGGTGATCAGACCTAGGGATTAGGGTTTCTGGTTTATTAGGAGGGGGAGTGAAAAAGAAGGCTATGTAGACGTGGCATAAGGTATTGACGGATGTCATCCAAGGATAGAAGAATGGTGCATCAGCCAAGTATAATGGGAAGAACTTTAGACTGATAGAAAAGATGAGGGAGGAGGTGGGAAGGGGAAGGTGGTGGCTAAATAAACATAATATTAATTAAGTATAATATATATTGAATCTACTCCAAATATAATCACAGTCAACAAGCCATATGTGAAATTTTGGAACCCCTCATTGATTGTGATCTTTACATGTTTTTATTAAAGGAGTTGATCAAACAATTAAAATGATAATTAATGAAACATATTTTTAGCACATTGAATTGACAAATAGAGTTAGATGGTCAAGCATGAGTTCAATTCCATGTGTTTTTAAGTTTGTGAAGGATTTTAATGATTTTTTTTTTTAATTTTTGATTCAAGACTTCTATTTGAGATCTTATTATTCATATGTGTAAATGATGAGTTTAATCATTTTGCAATCTTGGTAACTACCATGTGTCTCATCCCAAAATCTAATTTGAAAGATTTCCTTATTTTATCTATTATTATATAATAATCAGAGCTATTTAATTTCATCTATCAGTGATAAACCGCATAACAAATTCTATAATTTAAAACATCAATACATATCTATATTCAATGAGTTAAAAATACTTCTTATATAATAACATAGAAATCATATAATCATAATTTGCCATTTCATTCATGAGTATAAAAAAAAACTTAAAAAAAAAAAAACATAACATGAGGAATCTTGATCAGTCTCACACTTTTGAACCTCGTACTTGATGTGAAATTATTTAAATCACATATAATGAGCTAAACAAACCAACATGTCACTAAAATCCTATAACTAAATTCAAAGTATGTTAAAGAAGCAATATACATGTCTTCAATATTCATAATAGTAATAATCATATGATTAAGAATTAGTAATTAAATAATAAAAATCACATATAATAGTAGTAAAATTTTTAAATAATAAAATAATATGTTATAGAAGCCAATAAAATAATATAGTTGAGAAATTAGTAAACCAATGTGGGTGTCGAATTAATAAAGCTGTCATCATATCAGTATTATCAATTAGTAAATCAATTGTATAAAGCGTTAAAACTAAAGCACTGATAAAGAAATGTCAAATTCATATCAATGTAGTAAATCTTATAACTACATATACATGCTTGCCAGTAATTTTTTATCAATATCAAATCAGTATGTTAATCACATACTTATTATATTATCTTCTTAATATGTCACATGCTCAATATTAGCAGAAGTATCAAATAGGATCAATGCCTATATCATTAACAATAAAATTAGTGGCATGAGCAGTAAAAGTTAATCCATATAATAACAATAAATCCGTACAATGATAGTAAATCAATACAATATCAATGAAGTTATATAGTAATAATGAATTTATAACATGAATTTTAGTAGTCCTAATAAATAAGCAAAAAGTTCTGACTACCATGATATTTTTTTGTAAATAGTAGTTGGCAATCGTTGGCTCAATATACATAATTATCACTCTTTGCCCATCGACACAGTAATAAGTCTCAAATAAATATTTAAAATGCTCATAATCTCAATCTTATAATGTATAAAAAAGTACATAATAAAAGTTTTACCAATACAAAATTATTCTTATTTTTTGTTCTCAAATAAATATTTAAAATGCTCATAATCTCAATCTTATAATGTATAAAAAAGTACATAATAAAAGTTTTACCAATACAAAATTATTCTTATTATTTTTTGTAACGAAAATACAAATTTATAGTAAAAATATAAAAAATACCAAATTATTCAAATAAAAAATAGGATGATGATTCTTTATAATGAGACGAGCAAATCTTCCGATAGAATCGACTAACAAAAATCGCTCTACAGCCTCTAAATTCTAGGTTTATTTTTATCTCTCTTCCATTTTCTCTCTAATTTTCTTTTCTGATTCTTTGTTAGCTAAAAGGAGAGAAAGGGGATTTCAATGGCTTAAAATAATTTCATAATAAAATAATAATATATATATACAATTTAATCAATTCTTAGTATGAAATTTATATAAATCCTTTTGAGGCTTCAAAAATTATAGAAAAATATTCATAAAATAGCTCATTTTATTTAAAATTTTTTGGTGATATGAGTTTGCAAAACAAACACTTGATGGTCTCAAAATCAACTTGTACTATCATATCTTAATTTTTTAAAGATTTGCATCAATGCCCAAAAATTACGGAAAAATTAGTGTGATTAAATCACTATATTATCTATATTACGGGCAAGACATTTTATGATTTGGACTTATATTGACTCTTTAAAAAATTTATTTGACTCAATTAAAATGCAAACAATTACACTATAAATCCATTGATAACCTCTCATACTAGAATCTATATGCTTAATTATTTAAATCACTTGCAACACACTCTTTCTTCAAAATAATATAGTCTTAGTTTTTTGTTTCATCACTACTTACAATTAATAGCTTTTAAAAAAGCTATTTTCTTCATAACAATTTTATAATTACATTATAATTAAGAGGCTATAGTCATCCCAAATAGCAAGCAGCTATTAATTTTTTAAACAAATATTTATAGGGAAATTTAAATACATACCACTATATACTTATGATTTTACATATATAACACGCCTCATTTATTAATATTACAATTATACCACTCAAATTTCTATTTCACCTCATTTCTACCACTCCGTCTACCACATACATCACATGCACGACATCTTCTTTATGCGAAAATCACCTCTTCGCCCCAAACATGTCTTGAACTTACGGCCATCATACGTTCCCCGCGTTCTGCTTCTCCCGACCTTTGGAAAACCAGCTTGTCGCTAGGCGAACTGGTTCCCTTCGATCTTCGCCGCATTATGCTGCAGGCGTTCTACTCCCAGGTTCATTTTTATCACGTTATGCTTCCGACGTTCCTCATTTTGTAGGTTAGCAATGCTCGTCTAACAGTAAGATTACCGAATGAGAAGGTAGATGAAAGCATACTTGTTATCAAGGTTGCCAATGGAGTAAGCCGTGCTCGTTTGTTTTAGTTTAGAATACTGAAACTAAAGAATTCATATTGTTTAATTTCGGTTCTGTGAGCATCTGCAGCGGGTAGGACACATAAAAGTTCACCAAAGCGGTCCGACCTCAATAGTGTGAAGGGAAAGTCAAAAAAAGCTTATATCATCTACATCTCAAATCGAAACAAAGTTTTCATTCTTTTACCTTGGATTGTGAAGATGTCCGACTCAATGGAGTTATCCCCCTCCTCAACTTCACCCGTTAATGTCCTAAAAATGAAAAATTGGAAGACATTGTTAGTGTGCGAATAAGACGTCGTGATGGACTGGGTAGACAGAGTGGTAGAAATGATGTGAAATAGGAATTTGAGTGATATAGTTGTAATATTAATAGATAAGTTGTTAGATATGTAAAATCATAAGTTTCTAATGGTATGTATGTAAATTTCCCATATTTATAATATCACAATAGATTTACCACTAACGACCCTTAACTATTCACTGTAAAATGTTGCGTAACCCTAACTAATCCAACGGCCAAAACCTCCCCAAATTTCTCTCTCCAGCCGTCCGATCCCAATGCCCACCCACACGTAAAATGCCCCGATGACGTGGCCGGCGAGGCGACCCACCTCACCGCTGTAGCGTACTTCGCTTATAAAGTACGCGCGCGCGGCCGTTAGTGGAGAGAAAGAAACAGGAAGGGTTTCATATTCTGCTCCCTTTCTCTCTCCTCAGATATTCGGGAGAGATGGTCGGCGATCGGTTGAAAGGTACTGTGAAGTGGTTCAATGCAACCAAGCGGTTCGGCTTTATCACGCCGGACGATGGTCGGGAGGAGTTGTTCGTTCACCAGTCCTCCATCAAGGCTGATGGCTTCCAAAGGCTGGCCGAGGGTGAGGTGGTAGAGTTCGCGATCGCCGTTGGTGAAGATGGCCGGACAAAGGCCGTCGATGTGATCAGCTCAGGAAGGGATTTTGTTCAGGGAGGTAACTCCGCCGCCGCCGGCGGTCGGAGGGGTGGTTACGTCGGCGGAGGTGGGAGAGGAGGTGGAAGGTATGGAGGAGGGGGTTATGGATTTAGTGGCAACAGTGGAGGCGGTAGGGGTGGAGGATGGAGAGGTGGCGGAGGCGGTGGTTCTTGCTACAGCTGTGGTGAGCCGGGACATATTGCAAGAGATTGCTACAACGGCGGCGGTCGCGGGAGGTATGTTGGCGGTGGCGGTGGCGGTGGCGGTGGTGGAGGCGGCGTATGCTACAGCTGTGGGGAGACTGGTCATTTCGCAAGGGAATGCCCTTCTGGACCGAAGTAAGTGAATTTATCGTGCGTATTTTACAGCTTCTGGACTGAATGATCACTTGGGATTTGGTTGCTTTTCCGTTGAACAGAAATCGTTTGATTTTGTTTTGGTAATTATTGTATTTTGAAGTAAGGGCGAAGCATCAGGTGATTGCAAGACTCGCTTCTTGTATTTTAAGAAATAATTTTCAGATGGCTGGCTATACAAACGTGCATGTTGGCTTCCAAGCAGTAATTTCAAACGAGACGGCTTTCTCGCTAAATAGTTTTATAGTTCCAAAGGTTTTTTTGGAACAGGATATCTACCTGCCTCTATTTTAAAGGGAGTGTTTGGCCTCGGGCCCACGCTTGATTTGCCCCATTGAAGATGTGATGCCGTAGTTAGGGGTGTCAAATTTTGACACGACCCAAAACACGACCTGAGCCGACATGGAAAAATCCGAGTTCGGGTCAACCTGGATGACAAACAGGTCGGGTTCCGGTTCAAAAATCTGACCTGATTTGAGTTTCGGATCGAATTCGGGTTGACACAAAAATCCAAAATTAACCCTAAATTGACCTGGAAATTGCTCTACCCATATGTGTTGCACGACGTGCCCGCACTGCCCAAGAAATGACCCGACGCTACGAGCCTTCGACGCGTCAAGTCGCTTTGTCACTTTGTCAGGCATCACGTTACTCATGCAGCTCACACGGTTCGGACGGGAAATGACCCGCGCTGGCTCGTTGTTGTTGCCCGGCCGCAGCGTGGCCGCCCGCAGCCGCTATCTGCCGCTGTGGCGCCGCTCACTTGGTCACGCTAGTTCTTCCTCCTTCAACTCCTCCGACGATGTTCTTTCCTGTAAAATCGAAAGTCGGGACAGTCGAACAGCTCGCCGCGGCGCCGCCTCACCGGAACTGGACTTAGCGACGGGAGCTCGACGCTTTCCTTCATGTCGAATCGGAAAATCCGTATCGGGTCGGGTTGACCCAAACTCGAAGCGGGTCAGGTTCGGGTCCCAAAAACCGTTTTTACAAACAATTCGGGTTCTGGTTGACCCGCATAGTGCCGAGTCAGTTCCGGGTTCAACTCGAACCCGACTCGTGACTCGAAATTGACACCCCTAGCTATAGTAGAGGAGATTTGAATCCGAGATAGGGGGTTCCTAATCGTGCTCGCCCACCAACAACCCTAAGCCTTGGTGGGTAAAATTTTTTATTTCAAAATTTTTTTAAACTTTTTTTTATTAAAAAGTTATTTTAAAAGTAGTAAGAAAACCGTTCAAAACGAAGTCTTGATCCTTTGAGAGATTATTACATGCGAAGTACATAGAACTGTTTGGATTTTGTGAGTGTGCGCAGTAAAAGTACAGTAAAAACACAATTGTTCTACATAATGTGATTTTACTGTGCACACTCATAAAATCCGGACGTAATAATCTCTCCAATCCTTTCACATAAAATGCTTTTGCTTCATTTTCAGCTGTGGGTTCAGCCAAATCTTCGATCAAAGTAGCTTTAATAATTTTTGTTGAAGTTCTTTCAGGCTGCGTTTGGTTTGGAGGAATTGAGTTGATGGAAATGTTTTTTGTCACATAATTTCGTTTTATTCCTCTTCAATTAAATAAGTGGATGAAAATTGATTTCAATTAAATATTATATTTTTTTCATTAAAAAAATTTGCAAAAGAACACCTTGACATAATTCGTATCAGAATGAGCATAAACACTCGATTAGATTCTTGATGTAGCCCTCCATGATTTTTTTTTCTTTACTCTTTTTTTATTCCTTTTGTTGTTGAGGTTCTCAACTTATTTGTTTGTCATGTTATTCTTATGAGTAGGGGTGTCAATTTTTGACACGACCCGAAATAAGACTTGAATCCGATCCGGAAAAATTCGGGTTCGGGTCAACCCGAATCCGAAACTGGTCGGGTTCGGGTTCAGGTTCAACAAATCAACCCGTTTTAAAAATTAGGTCGGGTTCGGGTTGACCCATCAACCCGAAATTGATCCGAAAGTGACGTGAAAACTCATATTGACCCGAAAACCCGAGATAGACCCGTTTTTTACCCTAAAATCCGATATTGACCTGATTTTTGACCCGAAAACTAGCAATTTTGGGTCAACCCCGGGTCATTAGTGTCGGGTCGGGTTGACCCGGACCCGAATCGGGTCGGGTTCGGGTCTAGAAACCTGACCCGTTTTTAAAAACGAGTCAGGTTCGGGTTGACCCGAATAGTGCCGGGTCATTTCCGGGTTCGACCCAAACCCGACCCGTTGACCCAAATTGACACCCCTACTTATGAGTAATGATTGTATAAAAAAATATATAGGAAATGATTTGAAATTTATTTTTATAGTTAGATCAATTAAATTTGAGAGTCATTCATTTCATTTGAGAAAAAAAAATTATTCATTTGCATCATCAAATATTAATTATTGTTATTGTAAGGTGCTATTTAGTTGGTTGTTTAAAAATTAATATATTTTAGAAATATGTTTGTATTTAAAAATGTATGGATTGTTTGGTTGGTTGAAATTCAAATATATGGTTTTGGGTCTGGCCAATCCGTTTGACAAACGGGTCGGATTTGAGTTTCATATTTTGACATATTACAATTTCAGGTTGGATATGGGTTAACCGAAAACTTGAAAGTAACTCTAAATTGACCTGGTCACTTCAACATTTTAATTGAACAATTAAATTGTCTTGAAATTTTGCGTGTTTTAAAAATAATAGTATAGTATTTAATATCTCTTTGTTAGTTTTTTTTAACGCAATGCTGATATTTATTGTAATTATTAAATATTATCATTTTTTAAAATATATCAATAAGCCAAAAAATAAAATTTTTCAAAGGAAATCGATTCGGCGGGTCGTGTTGAGTTGGGCCGGGTTAAAGGTATGTCGGGTTCGGGTCCAGGCTTGTGATTCATTTCACAGAAATCTAATCGGGTGAGTTGAAGGTGGGTTAACTTGTGGTTGGACTTGAACTAGATCAAAAATCCATTTTGACACCCTTAATATTTACCTATGGGTGTAAATTTTTGTTTTAAAGAAATTTTTTAAAGAGGCAAATATTTTATTTTTTTGGGCAATTACAACGCTTATGTTTCTTAAAATAATTTAGAAAAGCTTTTAGGAATTCTTTAAATAAATAAACTCTATGCTATTAACTAATTTAGAAATTCTTTTGCTCTTCGTTCTTGATTATGTTAACCATTCTTAAAATTTTGAACTCACAATTTTAAATAAGCTATTTTAAATATAATTTGTTCATTTAGATTTATAATTGGTTCGTTTAAATTCATAACTTTAAATATATTAATATTACTTAACTTATTTAGTCCCACATCATTTGAAGACGTAAAACAAATAATGTTTATGTAGTATGATTTTTAAGATTAGCAAGTTAGGCTCATTTATTGGGTGAATTATTCTGTGTGGATGTTAAACGCCGTCCGTATATCAATCAGAATGCATCACATCACCTCCTGCTCAGTACCCGGTCGGTACTGAGCTTAGTACCGTTGACGTGGTGCATTCTGGTTGGCCTCCGTACGGTGAACTACATTCGGTGTCCGCACAGAATAATCTCTCCATTTTTTGAGCTCATTTGTCTTTTTAAACAAATTGTTAAGTTAAACCTTGATAGTTATAAAATTAAACAAACTCAAGCCAAGCCCAAATTAAGTTCAGATAAGCATCAATCTAAACGAAAACAATTTAAAAGTACTATACGCTCGTTTGGGGCAGCTTCTTTGGCTTTCCTTTTCCTCATTGAAAGGGTGAATAATTTAATTTTGAATTTATTTATGATTTGTTTGCGACAATTTTATTAATATTTGTACTAGAAAGTTCTAAGAAAACTGACTCAAATAAAATCTGAAGATTAATTTGAAACCATTTTTTGTCGCTGTTTTTTTGCTATTTTCAAAGCTGCTTTAAAAAGTAGTAAGAAAACTATCTAAAAGAAGTCTTAGGCTTCGTTTGGAACAACTTTTTTGTTGCTTTCTAAAACGTCTTTTTAGTACAAAATTTTTTTGAATTAGAAAATTTTATACGAAAAAGCCGTTTTAGGAAGCAGTACGAAAGGTGTATCAAACCAAGCCTTAGGCTTCGTTTGGAACTATTTTCTAAAGCAACTTTTAAGTACAAAATTTTTTGAAGTAGAAACTTTTGTACTACAAAGTTGCTTTAAAAAGCAATAAAAAAACTGTCACAAACGAAATCTTAATCACCACTTGAATAGGCTTATGGTTCGATTCAATTTGATTTTGATTTAGCTTAACTCGACTTCAATTAACTTGATGTCTAATTTTCTTGAACTTGAATTGTCTAGCTTGATTTATTTATTTATTTATTTATTTTAATATTCAAACCATATGTATTTTAAAACTCGGATGTATTTTCATAAAAAGCCGTTTATTAGATCATAAATTTGTTTTAAATTATCAATAAGCATCTATATTTTCTATTATATTTTTGATGATTTTAATATTAAAAGTAAAACTATGAAGAGTTATATATAATATAATTCATTTTCAAATAAAACTATCAGCCCTATTTTAATGAATGCTTGTATTTTTATTTTATTTTATTTTTTATTGACTGTTTCCAATGAGTCTGTCCAAGCTTTCAATATTTGAAATTTGGTGCTGTAATTTAAAAAAAAAATAGTAGAATTTTATTATGTGCAAATTAAATAATATGTGTTTGATGGTGTTTGTGACTAATATTTTCATTTTAGACATATAAGATTATTATAGGATTCAAACTTATATGTGAGTGATACCTAAATTTTATTTCTAGGACTTACAAGTCTCACAACATAAGGGTAGATAAAGAGAAAAAAATGATTGTCATATATGAATGCGATTATGCGAGGTTTATTATGTTGCTCGCATGCATGTCGAAATTGTGTCAATCCCGGGTTGACGGGTCGGACTCAAAATCAGCAAAATGAAATAAAAGGGTTAACAAAGAAGATAGGAACCCGATCGGTTTGTTATACATGTAAACCCAAATTCGAATTCTTTTAGTCCGGGTTTTTCGTTCGTGTCTTTAATTGACAGACATAGTGTTTGTGGATAATAAATTCTTATTTTATTTATTTTAGACATGCAAGATTATTATTGAGTTCAAATATGTGTGTGAGTGATACCCGAATTTTACTTCTAGGACTTATATGTAGGGATGAAAAAGAGTCGAGCTCGAGCTCGAGTCAAGCCTAACTCGAGCTCGAGCTCAGCTCGTTTCA